CCCCAAAACCCCAAAACCCCAAAACCCCAAAACCCCAAAACCCCATATATTGCAGAAAAGGTTGATTTACATAATAAATAATTCCTTTCAAAAAATGCAAGCTCCTCAACCTGGTGGATATATTGGCCAACAGCATGTGCAAGCCCCAAACCTTACCGGTGCAACAGAATCAGTCCAAGTAGTATGCCCACACTGCAAGGCTCCAGGAATGACGAATACGAGGAAGGAGGCATCTTCAACGCAGTGGATTTTATGCGTAATTTGCTTCCTCATCTGCTTCCCTTGTACTTGTTCCCCATTCTATTTCCCAAACTGCTACAAGATAACACACACTTGCCAGTTTTGCAACAATGTTATCGGATCAAATAAGAATTAAGTTATTTTACATCAGATTTTAGCAATGAAATATTTCAAACTTTTCCTTTAATAGGTAAAATTATGATTTTTATATCAATATTACTACAGATAACGAACCTAGACACCCACACTACTCTTCCTTATCCTCAAAAGCTCTTCTGTATAACTCCCTTAACTTTCCCCCTAAAAGCACCTGTAATGCTCTTGAGTACCAACCCTTCACCCAAAAAGCCCCAAACCATTGGTACAGGCTAACTCATATATCACATCTCCATAATTATTCCCTTAAAAACTGCACAAATTTCTACAGCCAGCTTAAGCCAGGCTCAATTTTGGAAAAAATCTGTATTTAAGCGAATTTTAGGCTGAAAGAGGTTTCTGAGAAGGTTTAGAGGGATTTTGACTGGATTTGGGACGACTGGGGTTTAAGGAGATTTTGGGAATTGGGAAGGGATTTTAGGGGGAATGGGAGCGCTGAAGGGGAAAGAAGGGGATATTGGTGGGGATTTTGGGGTATAGGTGGGCTGGTTTGGGTTATTGGGTGGTTAAGTTAGCATTCTTGTTTTTCTGATGTTGGGAATATTAATTTAGTCAATCAGAAAGAATTATGAAGGGGTTTTGGGGTTTTGGGGTTTTGGGGTTTTGGGG